TATCAAGTGTAAAGAGAAAAGTATTTTCTAAAAACATATATTTTTTTAGGAGAAGCATCAAGTCTTCTCGAGTCACAGGCCTAAAGTCCGAGTCAAGTCCCAAGTCACTGACCTTCAAGTCCAAGTTGAGTCCAAAGTCTTTGTCTATTTTAACAAGTCAAGTCTCAAGTTCTAAAAATAGTGACTCAAGTCTGACTCGAGCCCAAGTCACGACTTGCGAGTCCCCACCTCTGGTGCAGTGCATAACTTTTCTGGTGGAGGGCCCGTCAACTGCTCGTCTTCATGGAGATGTAATTGCTTTGTCTAGAACAGGGGTGCTCAATACGTCGATCGCGATCTACCAGTCGATCGCCAAGGTCGTGTGGGTAAATCGCCGTGTCTCGTCTCGGACTCGCGTTTGGACTCGGTCTTGTCTCTCACTCGAGGTCTGACACTCAACAAGTGCGATCATATTTCATTATGACCGCTGCTGTTGGCAATAAACTTGTAGCGGGGTGCAGGAGCCTGTGCGCTCAGTGCAGCCAGCGGAGACTCTACGGCACATCACAAACACACACGCTCCCTATGCACGGCTCATCTGCAACAGCGTGTGCCCTCGTGTACCAGCGTGCATCACAGGGCAGGTTAAACTTCCTAAACATTCTACCTGTCCATCTGCCTCACGTCAGCACGCCGCCCCTCGCCTCTTCACGCTCCTTCCTGCGTACAGCGAACACAAGCCCCTTCCACAGTGCGCTGATTAGAAGAGCAAGACCCAACGTGAAGCAAAAACGAGTCTAAATTTGTGTTCCAGTGTTGGCACAAAGCAGGTCTACAGCATAGAGCAGATCTACAGAACAGACCTACTGCCACATTTGGCTGAAGTTTGTCTAACAAAAGTGCACAAATGCATCTGTGTTTGTCACGATGTGCGTTTGGTTTGGTAAATGTGCAGAGGCTGGTAAATATCACTGCAAAACCAGAAAAGAATGCAACTCCAGTTTGGAACTTTAAAAAACAGGTCTGAAAATCTTCCTTCACTTTTTTCACAGTTTTGTGTAAAGTGCCAGAGGAAGTTCTCTTAAAGAAGAGGTTCTCAAACTGTGGGTGAGGGTCCAAAAAAGGGGCACAGAGCGTTTCAGTGCAGTTTGCTTGGCTTTGTATTAGGTAGATCTTTATGACTTGGTCATTTTGTAAGTAGCTCACAAGCTGAAAAAGTGTGAGCACCCTTGATCTAGAATGTTCCACGGTAGAGATTAAGTTTATTATTAAATAAAATGTGTACATTACAGTTAAGATCTGTGGAGAAGCAACCATATTCACTCTGAGATTTATTGTGTTTTCGAGCAATAGAAACACTTGTAATGAATAAATGTTAGACAGATGTGTTTAATGTCATACCATGGAACATTCCAGGAAAACCAATATCATCTCCATGGAGACAAGCAGATGTCGTCCCAGAAAAGTTGCACAATGCCCCTTTAAGTAGTAAGAAGCAAGTAGTTTTCCTAAATACTGTTTTACTCCTGCTTGAGCAATTTCTTGGACCACTACTTTGTACTTCTACTTCAGTGATAATGCTTCCTGCTGGCCTTTGAATAGTAGGGAAAACACATTTAAGGAGAGACCCCACTTGTGGATTGCATCAATGAACTTTTTTTTTTTTTTTTTTGTAGGGCTAAAAAATACTTGTCCCTCCTCTGGGAATGTGTGGCTTTTATTGTTTATGCAATTCATGTTAAGTTCTCCCATGAGGCTCCATTCCCACACACTCATGGAATCCCCTCTCTGGAGCTCGTATTAAACTTTGATGAGGTTTGGCTTTGAAATGTTAACCCAGCACACTTTTAATTATATACATGTTACATAAGCCCCCGCAGCAGTGGGTAATATGTCTTCACCTGCACATCCCGTCCATGGTCACGTGGTGCTTTCAAGTCATTAATGTTCAAGCACATATGACAGCTTTTCATGTATTTGTAATCATGTCATGGTTTGGTGGTAGAGCATGTGTGTTGCTCTGTTTTCTGATCTATGTTATAATATTTCCTCTTCACAAGCATACCTGGAGTTGTATTTTGTTTTTCTTTCATTCAAACATTTTTAACATGCAAACTCTGCATATTTAGGCTGAGTTCTTCTCTCAGATTGAAAACACTGTGCATCCAGTGTGTTTTTAAACTCCACACACCTTCACTAGAATAATTTGGAGAATTTCAGCTATGAAATTGACGATCTCTGTTGAACTAGAGCTAAAAAGCTCTTGGATGGTGGAACAGAGCATTTTGAGCTTTGGAGATATAGACAGACTGATAAATATATAATAAAGGATTGCTCAATAAATATATAATAAAGGATTACTCAAACATGTGTGAATCAAGCAAAACACAACTCCAGGTATGTGTGTGACAAGGAACAACATTATAACAGATCAGAAAATAGAGAACGTGGGTCCTTTAAAAGTACAAAATGTACAATTGGGATGCCTTAAGGATCTCCTTGCTAGATTTAAAGGACACATCATAAGCAAAATGTTCAATGCAAACTCATTGTGTTTAAATGGCTAATCTTTGTGTAATGAGGCAGAGGCAGTTATTAAAAGGTACCCAAAAATGAGTGTGAGTCATGATTTAGCAGCTGCAGTGTAATACTCATGGGACACACTACCAGACCTTGTGCTATAACCAGGGTAAGGAGGGTGGAGAGGGAAACCAAAGAGGAATCTGGAGCAAATTCATTCAGGGAGAAAATGAAAACTAGTCATACATGACAGTAGCTCAGGTGGTGGAGTGTTTGTACACTGATTTGAAGGTTGCCAGTTCAAATCCTCCCCCAGCACCAGCTCAGATGGTAGAGTAGTCAAATAGTCGCCCACAGGCAGGCAATGTGCAATGCTTCTCTGATTGGATATTTTGTAGATCAAAGTCTATTCTAATTTACCTTATTTTAAGTGTGTTCACTGCAACTTTTCTGTTAGGGGGTTTGCTACCTGCTTGTCTCCATGGGAATGTTATTAAGCTTTGCCTAGCATTTTCCTCATCATGGCATTACATTTTCTATCTTCCATTTGTTCAGTTGCAAACCTTTTTATTGCAAAATAGCTTGAATGGGGTCGCCTCTCTGACTTGGTGTCCACATCTACTCATGTCCATGAAGATAAATCTATTTAAAGTCATACCATCCATCCATCCATTTTCTTCCGCTTATCCGGGGCTGGGTCGCGGGGGCAGAAGTCTAAGCAGGGACTCCCAGACTTCCTTCACCCCACTCCAGCTCTTCTGGGGGGACCCCAAGGCGTTCCCAATCCAGCCGAGAGACATAGTCCCTCCAGCATGTCCTGGGTCTTCCCTGGGGCCTCCTCCCGGTGGGACATGCCCGGAACACCTCAACTGGCTCCTCTTGACGTGGAGGAGCAGCAACTCTACTCCGAGCTCCTCCCGCGTGACTGAGCTCCTCACCCTATCTCTAAGGGAGCGCCCAGCCACCCTGTGAAGGAAACTCATTTCGAGCGCTTGTATCCGCGATCTTGTCCTTTCAGTCATTACATTAAAGCCATACTTTTAAGCAATGTCATCTTCATGGAGACAGAAGCCACCTAGAGGCTTCGCTCAATTTCATTTCTCTCCAGCGACTAGGTCAGAAATCAGAACACACTAGTGAAGTTGTAGACTGCACACCGGCCAATCAGCGAAGAGCTGTGAAACCATGACTGGATCCCTTTTTGTGGTGCAGCACAACAGTAAACAAAGCGGTCGAGATGGATGTAGACAAAGCCATTCATTCCGTGTTGGCAAAGTGGTGCAATATCTGAAAGACTAAGTAGGTGGAGCTAACAGTTCAAACTAAAACTTGAACATTTATTTATTTTTTTTCCTGTTTTAGCGAAAGGGGGGAAAAGCAAAGTAATAAAATCCCCATTCCCCATATTAATAAGACACACACCTGTTACAAATACATCTCGATTTATTTCACATACATTTTTAAACTTTACCTTTTTAGATTTTTTTTTTTTTTTTTTTCACAATCTAAATGATTCAAACAACAAAATGAGAAACTACCACAACAAAGTTCATTTTTCCTACCGAGGGAAAATTATGCAAATGTCACAAGTAAAATTGACACATGTAGTTTACCAACCAGTAACGGTACAGTCAAAGGAATCGAAAAGACAAAAAAAGGACGAGAAGGTGTATCGTGTGGGTATTTCGACCAACAACGGGTCACTGTTATATGGATCCAAAAGTTATATGAATCCTGAACAGCGTTGGCAAGATTTTAAAAGAATTCTCAACTCCTTTACATATAAATTACCTTTTTTCTATATTTTCATTGATAAATAATACATATTTATTCATATCTATAGGTCAATTGGGAGATAGGGACAGAGAACCATCCGTAGAAGCCCTTTCCGGTGTCGCTGGGAAAGTTAACAATGATCACCAATTTTGGCTAATGCATCCCATATATTGCTATGAAGGTATTTTGAATGTTGCACGTACATGTACATAACAAAGCATTAGGTACGCATATGCAAAGTACTAAACATAGGGATTTATGGTCTGCTCTGTTGGTTGGTTGAGTGAATTAGCATGGCGCAAGGCTAAACAAAGTAGGTTAATAGTTAGATACAAATTTTTGCCTGTACATGGTTGAGTCCAGAGATTCTGCCCAAAATGTTTTATTTTTTTGAGCATATAAATTTTAATATATCAATTTCAAAGCTCATAACTGACACTTATTCACATTAGGTCCTTTACAGTAAAAGTTCCACTGTTGCTTATCCGTTGAAAATAGCCTCCTGGCAGTTGTTTAAAAGTATGTCCAACTGGCTATTTTATATCTCTACTTGTGTGAAAAGTATTGTAAATATCCATGGGTTTAGGATACAGTCATTTTCTGTGAGGTCGACCTTTGTTAAACGTTCTTACATCCAGAAGTTCAGTAATTTGATTTGAACAAAAAAATACATTGTACTGTACTTTGGGCTTTGTTAAAATCCACAGTTATAAAAAAAAAAAAAGTCACATCATTTTCATGTTGAATCGACGGCCGGCAGCTTGACCCTCTGCTGAATCCACGTTGGTTCCGTTGGACTGTGAACGAGGGATATACTCAACGTCAATGTTATTTCTATGATTTCCTCTACCTCTGCTCCACACGAAGAGAAGGACGAAACACAACAAAACCACTCCCAGGAACGTAAAACACCCCATGGCCGTCGACACCAGAATAGTCTTTAGGTTCAACCCCAAGGTGATGTTGTTGGTTGAGTTGGTGGTGGAATTGCTCAGGTCCGTGTAGTAGAGGGTCCTGTTTGCATACAAGGAACCAAGGCTCTTCACAGCTAAGGAGGTCATGAGGGTGTCATTCCCTGCGGTGTTGGATGCTAGGCAAAGGTACACGCCACTATCCTGTATCTCCGCTGATTTAATCACCAGAGTGCCATTATTGTGGACTGCAACCCTTCCATGATTCCTACTCGTCAAGACTCTCCTTCGCGGGGAAAGCCAAGATATTATGGGTCTTGGTGTCCCTTCGGCGCTGCAGCGTAGGATAGCTTGCTGGCCCTCATCAACTGTAACTGTTTGCGTTTTATTCTCACGGATTTTTGGCTTGGTGCATGTTACGTAATAAGACAGCAACGTTTCCTTAAATTCCTTAAAAGGCCGTCCTCGGATTCCCTCAGGCGTGCTGCATTCTGGTTGTGATTCTCCAAAGAATATAGAATGTCTTTTCTGCAGTATCCACATGAGACGGCAATCGCACACCAAGGGGTTGTTATCGATCAAAAGGACTTCAAGGGTCTCCGGAGATTGGAACACTCCCTTCTCTAACGTGTCTAGACGGTTGTGAGAGACATTGAGGACTTTAAGCTGTCGCAGTCCTTGGAATGCGTACGGTTCTATTGCGGTAAGCTGCGCCCCGACCATGTGTAACTCCCGAAGGCGAACCAACTCCGAAAGCATCCCGCCTTCAATATGTCGAATTCGGTTGTAGGATAAGTTAAGGTGGGTTAGGAACAGAAAGTGTTTCAAAGCTTGATATGGAAAAGATGACAAGTTGGTGTTGGTAATAAACAGAGTGGTAAGGTTGAGACCGTGCAACGTATTCGCCGGAACGTGGTCCAGGGAAGGCCAGTTGTCGATTTCCAAATGCCGCAGTCGAAATAGCTTCTTGAAGGAGTAGGGATGCAAAGTGCTGATGCTGAGGTAACGAAGATGAAGGTTGACCAGGTTGTGCAGGTGAGAAAGTGCTTCGGTCGGTACAACGGTCAAATTGCACCGCTCCAAGGTAAGAATCTCCAAACTCATGAGTCCACTAAACGCACGGTGCGAAATGTAGACCAGATCATTGTCGCCGACTTCCAAAAACTTTAGATTGTGCAGGTCCTGGAACATGTAATCTAACAGTATGACGATTTTGTTATCACTTATATCTAACCGGGTCAGATTGGTCAGCGCCGCAAAGACACCCAACGGAATGAGCTTGATTCGATTGCTCTTCAGACTGAGGGAGTGCATGTTATACAGTGCGTTAAAAGCTCCTGGTTCCACGTAACTGATAATATTCCCACTGAGGTCCAACTCCTCCAGCCCAGGAAAGTTCATGAAGTCATCTGGGTTGATCATGGTCAGCTTGTTCTTGCTGAGGTCCAGGATCCTTGTTTCCGTCGGGATGCCATCAGGTATGGTGGGCATCCTCTTACGGTGGCAGACGACGGCCTTGGTTTGGGCGGAGCACTCACAGCGTGAGGGGCATCCCAGAGTCGAACCCATGAACACAGCCACCAGGGCCAGTCCCAGGAATGGTTGCCAGCATGAGACGACTGTGTGCAGCATGACTTTGCTAAAGTCGACTCTGTCACGGTTCTGCAAGAGACACAAAGAAGAGATAGACATTTGTTAGCGAGTCTATTAAGTCATATTTGCATGCTTAAAACACAGCATTCAAACAGTATCTATGGATTCTGATAACAAACATTAGATTTTGTGTATTTCAAAAAGGCAATGATGAAAATGAAAATTACATATACAAAGAGTTAATGAATTTTGCTTAATGATGAGCTGGATAGTTATGATTTTCAGGAGGCATTGCTATTGATGAAATGTTGTTGTCAGAGATGCTTTTATGTAAATAAGCTGTTCAGTGTCTTTTATTTCTACCTGCCCAAGGACTGCAGATGAAAACATGTGCACGGTCCTTGTTTTAAATAAATAAAACAAATGTACATACCACTACCACTACCATGTTCTTTATTTATTGTTTAAATTCTTATAAAAATATTTAGTGAAACAAGCCAATATAGATTATCAGAGTTTATTTTAGCCAATTCAAATATTGCTCATCATGATGGTGGAAAATGAACATGTAGACATTTGAAATAGATACAGTTTATGATGTTGGGTACAGTTTATGATGTTCATTCACAACTGCTTCAAGGATGGCAAAAAGGAAGTACAGCACTGTATATTTTCATAACAGTTCAAGATATAATCCATATTTCACTATTTCAAAACACATAGAAGCAAATAAATTAATTAAAAGGTACAGTTTGTGACTTTCTGGAAGTGGAACATCCCCTGCATGATTTCATGGAAATAGAATATACTATATACTTCGGGACTTTCTCCATCTATCTAAAGATTTGATTAAATTCGGTGGAATATTACAGCCATATATTTCATGGAAACAAGCACAAGGAGGCCCTCTTCTATCTAGACCAAGTATAGAGTAGATTCGTGGAGATGCAAGCCTGCCCGATTAAGGACACGTGTTTTGCAAGGTTTTTCAAAGCAATAAAAACAACCAAAAGGGGGAAAAAATGCATTTGTTTTAGTCTATGTATTCAAAAGATTACATATTGTGGCTTTAAAGTCAACAGATTACAACTAATATTAACTCCTAAAATATGTGTGACTAAAAAATGATTCAGATTCACATTTGCAAGTCAATTTTTTTCAAGAAACAACCATGGAGTCACGGTGTCCCTCTTATTCAAATGTGTTTTTTGAAGGATATATAGGATTATGAAAAATAAATAAATAAATAAAAGAAATCCTTGGCTTTCTCTCAGTGAGCTTCTTGATGAAATCTCCTGTAATGGATTTCACTTCACAGCTCTGCTCTATTAGGGTCAGGAAATGACAACAGCGTACTGTCTGCTACTATATGTGTCCATTCATAGAGCTGATGCTGTCAATGAGAATCTACAATGGAAACAATAATGGAAAACAAAAACAATGGATGAAATAATGGACATAAAGAAGAAACACAAATGAAAAAGTGTGTCTGAACTTTTGATTGGTAGTGTATGTATATAGGAAGGCTATATGGTAATAAACTTGACTACACCAAGGTGCAATATTTTTTTATTTACTTCTAGTAAATAGCATTAACCTGCGATTCCTATTTTTCCTATTATACAATTCACAATCTCCACCGTGTCTCTGCCTGCATACTCTGCATAAATTTCCATTAAGAACTAGCCTCTCTGAAATCCATTCATGAATTGTGGTTTTCTCTTGTGTAGTCTACCGCTTTTTCATATGGATCACACAGGAGGGAGCGGAGGATGAGGGAAAGGCAGGCTGAAATTTGAATGCGTACTCTGTGACAGGTTGCAAAGACTGCACGAGCAGGCCTGGCTCATTTGGTGTGTCATGAGCTGTGCTAAATTTAAACAATGAGATAAATAATCCTAATTTCTCCCCGGGCCTTCAATCTGTTCACGGATTATGGAGGGAAAAGCATGTAAGGACACACAACCTTGTAAAAACTAAACTAAAGGTTTTAAGACTGTGGCAAATACAACTGTGAAATACGACTACAATGAAATTTCAAAATGGATGTATTTTTTTCTTTCATTCTTGTATTGACTGAATTGATATGACACACACAATTCTGGAAAATGCTCATAAATTAAAGAACCCATACTCATTTTTTCCCTTGTATTTAAGCAAAATATGTCTTGCTCAATACAGATATATTGACTGTGACTTTGGACAGGATTGCACTGCCAACCATAAAGAAGGTTTACATAGTGCTCAGAAGAGATGCCAAGATTACTCAAAACTGCATGAAAACCTCCCAAAAACTCGCAGGAGATTTTTTTTTGGATCACCTTGTCACATCTCCTTGCACTCTTGTACTTACTGACCTCTAACAAATTTTCACACATATTCCCTTGAGTCGTGTTCTTTAGTCCGAAGCTGATCGCATCAGCACACAAGGAGCAAGCTTATAGTTCATGCAAATAAGCCATGTGGTTTTAAGTTTAGTTTCGGTAAAACATAAACAAATGTGTGCAAAGCTGCATTAAACACATTATTACACAATCTATAGTTGAGTCTTCCTTATAGGAAATTTTAAAAAGTCTTAAGTCTCAAGGGTCATCAATTTGTTTCGCTTAATGCACCTTATAAACCAATGCGCCTTATGTATGAAAATAGACGAGAGAATTCAACATTACTGATACTGAGCCTTATAATCCAATGTGCCTTATAGTCTGAAAAATACTAATAGAAATACAAATTGTTCAGAGAGACACAATCAGTCAATTAACAGTAAAATATCCTCATTAATGTTCACTGATGGTCACAAATTTATTTTGTGATTTACAACTATGTCTATTGACTTGGGTTGTGAGGGTTTGTGACTTTTAAAATATGGGTCCCCAGAAAATAAGTTTGGGAAACACTGACATATACAACCACTTAAGGCCTTTTTTTTGATGAGGTAACAATGTTATAACATGGAAAACACCAAGAAGTCGATTTTGCATAACACTCCCCCTTTATGCCAGTGTATGCAGACAGCGACAGGTAAAGTGTTTTGCTCAAGTACACAACATATAGTAAGTATCTACACACAGAACCCTGTTAAATAGTTTTGACTGCTAATCTACACTATGCAAAATTAATTTAATGTAACAATACCCAAATCTCATGGTACAGTATTTATTGCGATGTTTTGAAGAGGTTAATATAATTGTAGACAGGACACTTTTTTGCTTTTAAAATACCCTGACAAGATTTTGATGTGAATTATTTCTGTCATAATCCCAACAATTCAAGTAAAAAACATATTTCTTCATGTTGTCTGCACTGAAATGAATCATGGGATATGTAGTGCCATATGTTTATAAGCTGTTGCTACCATAAAACCATGCATTTAGGCAAAGGAAGTTAGGATTTGATTTATTGTGACAGCCAACAATAGTATTGTGAGACTTTTGACAATGCAATATCACGATATTTATGTTATTGTTACATCCCTAGGTCTATGTATTTGAAAGATACTCACAAACCCTTCATTTACAGACAAGTATTTAATTTTGTTTTCATTGAAAGTAGTGCCACCTTTTCCACAGCCACAGATGCGTCTTTAAGAATCCATACATTTCCACCGGTTGCGCAATACAGTCCATTAGCATTAGACCTATGCAGATGGTGGCACACTGGTCCAATCCATTAAACAGTACACACCATCCTCAGTATGCTAATATTGGATTTCAAAATGTCTTCTATAATCATTCAACACACTCTTTAGTCTCTTAATTTCCGTTTTGCCAATTGTAAAGATTTCATAATGTTTTAGCGACTCTTGGTGTTTCTTAGCCCCAGCTTGCCATTTAAAGTTTATTGCCTATGCACCATATGGTTCGACTTGTCTCATTGGCAAGGGTGTGTAAGTTTGTGAAATAGCTTTTTAATAGTTCTAACTGTGGCAATGAACTTTCTGCTTTGCGGATGGTATGCCGTGTTCATCTTCTTAATTTAGTATTGCCCATCTTTTCTAATAAACATTGATATTAAAACTAGTATCAAAACTAGATTTGAGCAGGTACCAATACTAAAAAAGTTGCATACACAAAACAGAAATAAACCTTTCCTGAATGGCTTTAGAATGATCTTGAGCTGTACCAGAACAAGTATAAGAGCGCATAGGCTACGTTCAGACTGAAGGGCTTAACGCTCAATTCGGATTTTTTGTGAAATCAGATTTTTTTGTGAGGTTGTTCACATTTCCAATTAAATGCAGCTTGTATGTGATATCCAGTGTGAACATTAAATGCCCCATAAGTGTCCCGCATGAGCACTGGAGGACAGTGTTTACAGAAGTAGCCTAAATGCTGACATTGCCTCTCAAAATACGGCTGCTTCGTTTGTTTGAGTCTTTAGTGTCCTTGTATTTGGCTCACAGGCTCTTTATTTTTGTTGACATTGGAGTCAGGACTGCCTGGAGCTGCTCTCGGCCATTTCTTTGGCAATCATTTCAAAAACCACCCAGTTCTGATAAGACACCTCCAGTCTGGCCTGAATTCAGCGATTCCCCCCCAAATATTAATTAACTCACCTCACTTCCCCTCCATTGACTAGACTCCGAGCCTGACGTGTAAGTGGGATGAATGCGACCTGGCCATTCTGACTGAAGTCACGTCAAAAGATCAGATATGTAATGTTTTTTTGACCACATATCCAAATGGCCTGGGTTGTATTTGAAAAAATTGGATCTGTGTCGTTCAGACTGTCATTAAAAGATCAGATACAGGTCGCATAGGGGTGAAATAATCGGATTTCAAGCTGCAGTCTGAACATAACCAAAGACTAGTATACACCCATGAACCACTATGGAACCTACATGAATCAGGGTTACACTGATATAATTCCACATGGTAATATAAAAGAAAGTACTATTATTTACTGCTGAAAGTCAGATTCTATTGTCTAAATAAAGAGTTTTCGGTATCAAATCTGTTCCTTAGCATCAAAATCAAGTCTGAAATTTTAGTAACTTGACAACACTGCATAGGGCATAAAGGCCTGCTATACTGAATGAAAAATTTA